ACACTGACCTTGTAACCCAACCTAACGTTGTTATTACACAGCTAACATGTCACTTAGCCAAGCAGAGTAGACACACTGACCTTGGTATAAATACAACCATATAAAAGATGTTACTATGATACTAATGAGTGACGGACGGACAGATCAACCAGAGTGGTGATTATTGCCTGAAGAGATTTTGATAACTATCTTTATACATTTCAGTATTCACATTTGGAAAGACAGAAGATCCCAGATTAATCAGCATTTTACTGGTATATATCAGGCGAGTGTACTATCAACTGAACTGTCTTAAAAACATATACATATTGTAAACCACATTTTCCTGTAACATGGGCTTTAATCCAATACTTTGTATATGAATATAAAGGAAATGACAGGAAAATGGTACAAAAGTCACAAGAAGACCAATTGTTGAGGTATTGAGGTGTAAGGATGTCACCAACAACAACCAACTGGGAGTCCTTGGGAGTTTCCCCTCATTACTGTTTACCCTTCTCAGAGCAGGTACAAAGAGTATCCCAGGATAAATACAATCAACACATTGTTTACAAATAAAAGCAAATGCCGAACTACTGGAAACGGCCTGATACAACAAATAATTTAAGACCACAATATGGCGTGTATTACATTATGTCATAATGTAGGTCAGCTATATTAATTGTTATGTTGATTGATTGTACTTTCAAAATGAAATCAATTTCCTGAAGAGCTGTGCAGAAGCGAAAGATCTCAAGAATCAATCTTCTTGTGATTTTCAATTGTTTGTAAAGGCATATACTTAAATGTATAAAGCTCTCTTTGTCCAGTATATATGAAAAGTTAACTTTGAACTTTATATATATATGTATACAGCATGTGCATATGGATGTATCTTTAGTATAATATGTATATGTCATGTGTTTATACAATCTTGAATGGGGATGAAATACAGAATAACTGTATCACATGCATCATATAAAAATCATTAACACAATAGGGATCCCCGTACCACTGCCAATAACTGTAACACAATAGGGATCCCCGTACCAATGCCAAAAACTGTAACACAATAGGGATCACCGTACCACTGCCAAAATCTGTAACACAATAGGGATCCCCGTACCACTGCCAAAATCTGTAACACAATAGGGATCCCCGTACCAATGCCAAAAACTGTAACACAATAGGGATCTCCGTACCACTGCCAAAAACTGTAACACAATAGAGATCCCTGTACCACTGCCAAAAACTGTAACACAATAGAGATCCCTGTACCACTGCCAAAAACTGTAAAACAATAGGGATCCCCGTACCACTGCCAAAATCTGTAACACAATAGGGATCCCGGTACCACTGCCAAAATCTGTAACACAATAGGGATCCCGGTACCCCTGCAAAAAACTGTAACACAATAGGGATCCCCGTACCAATGCCAAAAACTGTAACACAATAGGGATCCCTGTGCCACTGCCAAAAACTGTAACACAATAGAGATCCCTGTACCACTGCCAAAAACTGTAACACAATAGGGAACCCTGTACCACTGCCAAAAACTGTAACACAATAGAGATCCCTGTACCACTGCCAAAAACTGTAACACAATAGAGATCCCTGTACCACTGCCAAAAACTGTAACACAATAGGGATCCCCGTACCACTGCCAAAAACTGTAAATAGGCATCTAACTTTGATAACTTATTTCACAAAGAAAACCATACCTTGCAGGACTTTTATGAAAAAATAATAAAGGTCAAATAAATACACTATAATTAACAATATGTGTTCTGATGGTAAAAATTCAACAGAGCTAGACCGGGATTCAAACTCTGGACTTCAGATTGCTATTATCAGTACTATCGCTCTAACTGATTGAGCTGCATGGTCAATGGAGTGTCCGGACTCAATTGTGCTTCTGTTATATCCAGCAGGAAGTTAATGTGAGGTTACTATATATACAGAAAACCAAGGTGCAGTGGGACAGGGATCTTTTATCAAAACAAGGTAAGAGAAGGCATCACCATTTTCTGTCACTGCTGCCACCATTTTCTTGTTCCTTGCGACATAATAGCATGTATATTCTTAGATGTGTAATAAAATCAAAGTAACAGCTTCACCAGGGAAGTTGATATCTAACACAGAGAAGGTGTTTTGTGAAGACTGCCCTCCGTTATATCCAGTAGATTTCTCATTGAGGTGAGGGATCTTTGACTGATGAGTTGCTTGATCCCCCAAACTTAAATTTTCCAATTCCTCCAAAAAATCTTTTTATGTCAGATTTCATCCCTTTGCTGGAAGAAGCTGTTAAACTACCTGTCGGTGACTGTCTTTTGTAAACAATTTCTTTCTGATTTACAGATGGCTTGTTGGAAATGTTTGGTGCTGATGAAGATGTTATTGCGGGGGGCGACATAGACCGTGATATCTCTGATTCTGATTGAGAGGAGAATTCACTGCTTAAGTCAACCCAGTCAGACTTGATACTCTCATAGCTTTCACTTGGTATCTCCATTTTAACATCTGAACTCGAGGAAAGTGATTGCCCAATAGCACTATCTGGTGAAGATGCTATGGAGGACAAAGATCCAACTGAAGTGGAAGACATAGGTGATCCCTGACTCCAGCCGCTAGCGGCCGGGTCAAGTGGCTGTTTGATAGCTGAGGAGAGGCGATTCCAAAACCACTCCTGCAGGTCAACTTTGGTGAAGTCACACAAAGTCACGTGGCGAAGAATCTGTGGAATTGCTGTCACTGGCTCTATGATGACAGGGATAAGTTTCTTGCTTCGAGCACCTTCAAATAATGAAACAATAACACCTTCAAATAATGAAACAATTACACCTTTAAATACTGAAACAATAACACCTTCAAATATTGAAACAATAACACCTTTAAATTATGAAACAATAACACAATTTAAACAATGAAACAATAACACCTTCAAATAATGAAACAATTACACCTTCAAATAATGAAACAATAACACCTTCAAATAATGAAACAAGTACACCTTCAAATTATGAAACAATAACACCTTCAAATAATGAAACAATAACACCTTTAAGTTATGAAACAATAACACCTTTAAATAATGAAACAATAACACCTTTAAATAATGAAACAACAACACCTTTAAATAATGAAACAATAACACCTTTAAGTTATGAAACAATAACACCTTCAAATAATGAAACAATAACACCTTCAAATAATGAAACAATTACATCTTTAAATAATGAAACAATAACACCTT